TTCAGAGGATGGGGGAAGCTCTGAAAAAGTCCTGGAGACAAGTATGGGAGGAGGAGACAAGGGAGCTAGAGAGCAGGAGGCCTTGCGAGGAGCAGAGAGTACGGTTTGGGTGATATTTAGAGACAAGATCATTGATGTAATTTGGGGCAGAGTTATAAATGGCTTTATACGATATTGTTAATGTTTTGAATTTTATCCATTCGGCAATGGGAAGCCATGGGAATGCCCTAGGCATTAGGGGAGGGACTGATGATTGTGTTATTGATCTTGATGGAGAAGTCAGTGGAGGGGGCACGGGCTGGGAGGGAATACTAAGAGCTCAGTTTTGGAAGGATTGAGTTTGAGGAAGTGAAGTGACATCCATGCTGATATGTCGCTTAGTAGGTTAGTAATGCGAGAGGAGACTGAAGGGGTGAGTGGAGGGGTAGCAAAATAGATTTGTGTGTCATCAGCATAGAGATGGTACTTAAAGCCATGGGGGTTTATCAACTGACCAAGGGAGGACATGTAGATGGAGAAGAGAAGGGGTCCAAGGACAGAACCTTGAGGACCCCTACAGAAAGAGGGAGCAAAGAGGAGGAGGCAGAGTTATAGGTAAGGCTGAAGGAGCGCTGCGATAGGTAGGAGGAGAACCAGGAGAGAGCAGAGTCTCTGAGGCCAAGAGAGTGGAGTTTTTTGAGGAGGAGGAGGGGATGGTCAACCGTATCAAAAGCCGCAGAGAGGTCAAGTAGTAAGAGTACGGAGTAGTGGCCATTGGTTTTAGCTGTTAGTAGATCATTAGTGAGTTTTAGTAGGGCAGTTTCAGTGGAATGTAGTGAGCGAAAGCCAGACTGTAAAGGGTCAAGAAGGTTGTTGTTGGTGAGGTGGGAGCTCAGGCGATTGTAAACTAAGTGTTCTAGGAGTTTAGAGGTAAATGGCCGCAGGGAGATGGGTCTTAAGTTGTTCAGGTTGGTGGGGTCCAGGGAGGGCTTTTTAAGTATGGGAGTGATGTGCGCATGCTTTAGAGGGGAGGGCAAGGCACCAGTAGAGAGGGATAGATTGAAGATGTGAGTGAGGGAGCATAGGATGGAAGAAGAGGGTGACCGTAGTAGTTGTGAGGGGACAGGATTCAGGGGACAGGTAGTGAGACAGGCTTCTGAGAAAACCTTAGTGACCTCTTTGGTAGTAGCAAGGTCAAAAGAGGAAAGTGTTAAGGGATGTTTAGTATAAGGTATGCTAAGTGGGATGGATGTCTGTGCAGTGCGATGCCCCTACGAAATGCGTCAATCTTGTTTTTGAAATGATTTGCAATCTTGTGAGCAGTGAGGTACTGGGTGGAGGTATAGAAAGTAGAGAGTTAAAAGTAGAGAAGAGACAACGAGGACTGGATGACAAGCTATTGATGAGAGAGACAAAGTAGGCTTGTTTGGCAGCATAAAGGGAGGAATTGTATGTTAAGAAAGCAGATTTATATCTGGTGAATGCTTGCTGGGATTTGGTTTTACGCCCAAAATCGCTCCAGCGCATGTCATTTAAGATCTCTGATGTGATCAGTCTGCCAAGGTTGTAACGGTCGGGGCCTGATGCTTTGTGTTGTTAGAGGAGCAAGTGAGTCCAATGCAGATGAAAGCGAACTGTTGTAGACAGCAGTGGCCAGCTCAGGGCAGGACAGGGGAGAGATTCTGTCCTAGAGTTGGTCAGTTGCAGAGTGGAAAGGAGCAGGGTTCAAGTTGTGAAGGTTTCTGCGGGTAATTGTTTGCTGCTTGGAGGGATAGGTGTTTGAAGATGAGGACACTGTGAAGGTGATGAGATTGTGATCAGAGAGAGGAAAGGGGGCATTTGTGAGGTTGAAAGGAGTGCAAAGATGGGAGAAAACAAGGTCTAATGTATTCCCATCAGAGTGAGTGGAGGACTGTATACACTGTGCTAATGCAAAAGATGAGGTTAGGTTGAAGAGTTGGGATGTAGCCGGGTTGTTGGCATTAATGGGGATGTTAAAAACTCTGAGAATGATAGTGGGTAGTTCAGAGGAGAGAAAATAGGGTAGCCAGGCGGAGAAATCATCAAGAAAGCGGGACACCGGTCCAGGAGGCCAATAGATCACTGCAATCCTCAGAGAAATGCGAGAAAACAGCTGGTTGCAGTGATTCTCGAAAGAAGAGAAGGATAGAGAGGGAGGGTTAGGGAGGACTTGAAAGGTGCTCAGTGGGGATAGAAGCAAACCAACCCCACCACCTTTCTGACCACTGGGTCTGGGTGAGTGGGTCCAGATGAGTCTCCATAGGAAAGTGCTGTGGGAGAAGCAGAATCTGCCACTTGGAGCCAGGTTTCTGTAATAGCTAGTAGGTTAAGGGAGCGGGAGACAAAGAGGTCATGGACAGAGGTGAGCTTATTACAGACAAAGCGGGCACTCCAGAGCACACAAAAGGGAGGGTGGTTTTTGGGAGCACAGGGACTGATTTTAAATTGAGGGGATTGCCGCTATTCCCAGAAGAAAGGGGATGCCTGGTGTGGGGGTGAAATACTGGAGGACCAGAGTTTGGGGAGATATCCCCAGAGGTTAGGAGAAGAAGAAGGGTGAGGAAAGTAAGATGGGAGTGGGATGTACACTAGTGCACATGCCTTCCAGTCCTGGTGTTTGGGTCAGCAGGAGAGTGAAGTATCAGCAGGAGGTGATGGGAGCAGTAGTAGGGAGATGGTAGCAGTGAGGGTGAGATGTATATGTTTTGGGGTGGAGCAGAGGGATAAAGAAGTGAGATTTTGGGAACACAGGAAAGTAATATGAAAAGGAGGAGTAGAGGGGACATATTAAAAGGTACACAGAGTGGGACTTGTAAGAGATGTTTCCCAGGGTGTTTGCTTGCAGTCTGTCCAGCATGCAGTAGAGTTTCTTGTTGTTGTATCTTCCTGCTGCTGAGTTATCCTGCTTTAGATAAACTGCTGTGTTTAACTGTATTTTAGCACTCCATCAATGCAGCACTCACGCAAAAGCAGCACCCCATCTGTGACTGTCCCCCCCATCTGTGATTTCCCCCCATGAGCTGATAATAAGATTCATTTCCTATAGACTTCAACTGGGTTTGGCTCAATGTTCTTGGTTTAAAAATCTCCTTCTGGGTTTCCTGAATGTCCAGTGAACCAAACTTTGCCCAGTTTGCTCTTCCCTATCCCTCACCAGCTATCTGATCCCCAATCATTAGGTATGAGCAAATCTGCTCAATATGTGACAGAGTTCAATAATATGTCACAGAGTTTATGAATCCATTAAAGTCTACGGAGGGCAAATCTTTATAATCAATTTCAAAACAAATCCTTTAAATAACATCAAAAACAATAAATAACCTTATGTGACAAATCATTAAACTCAATAAGTGACAATTAATGCTGCTGTTCATAAGGTGACAACAACACCATGACAAATAAATATAATCAATAACACAGCGCAAAAATAAAATAAATAAATACAAATAATTTTTATATGATAGTCCACTGTCCCAAAAAATGGTGATTAAATGCTCCAATCAGTGCCAAAACTAGATGTGCTCTTTAAATGATATCACCACAAGTGACCACTTTCCAATATAGTCCACACTCACCAGATTTTATGGACTTTTAGATTGTAGGTCTTAAGAGTCAACAAGGCTTTTACTGGTGAAATGTGTTCCCAAGAATATCCAGGATTCAGAATGGGATAAGGGTGTACTTCCTCAATACCTTTCCAACAATCCTCATGCAGGCAGAAGAGAATGAAACCAAAGTACATATTGCACTCACAGGTTGTAAACAATAGATAAGCCTTAAAATAGTATGTGCTCTGTGACCTCCCACATCAAGAAAGTGCTAGTCAGCAACAATGGCTCTGGAGCGCCGCTTATGGCGTGCTGTCCACTTATTAGATGTGATCTCACGAATACCTTGCCGAAACCAGAAATACTGTTGACACGTTTTACCCCACCACCAGGGCGTCCTAACAGACAGCAATCTCCTATCCCTGTCTGTCAGATATACCCTGCCAATACTCCTCCCACCTTCATGCCTCACTTCCTATTAGGTGTACCAGCTAAAACTACTTCCTGGTATTATCGGTGCGGCTAATACATTGGAAAACCTCATACTAATAAAAAAAACAAATTGCTTAAAAAACTAAAATCAAGAAATAAAAATATACTAAATAGGTAAAAAATAGATTTCCAGTGATATTAAAACCGAAATGATGTATGTGCATTACTGAGGAGTAAATGGAATGCTATCAAATAGGAACAAAACATTAGCAATAATGACTATTTACCTATCACCCCCCACCAATCACAGAGTTACATACAAAAACTTAAATCTTTTCACCAATTTGAAAGAAAACAGTTCAAATCTATATCTACATTCAACCCCTTGGGTACTAAAGTATCCAATCTAAGGATTCATCTGGTTTCATTCTGTGAGATTGATTGCTTCAAATCTCCTCCTTTCCAATGAGGCTCAATATTATCCATCCCACAGAATCTCAAAAGAGATGGATCCCTATTATGGAAATTCCTAAAATGATGAGGAAGGCTATGGTGTCTAAAACCCTTTTTAATATTCCTAAGATGTACAGCAAGCTTCCTGGTGGCTCTCCCAACGTACTGTAATTTACAAGGACATTGTAAAAGGTAAGTGACATGAGTGCTTGCACATGAAACACAGTTCTTAATCTTAAAGGTCTTTCCATTAACATTAGATTGAAAATTGACAATTTTTTAATGTTTACTCCTCATTGTCTTGCAAGCTAAACATATGCCACATCTAAAAAATCCTATTTGGTCTAAAAAAGTTGTATTTTTACAGGAGGATCAGGAACATTTCTGGCAACCATGTTTCTAAGGGTAAGTGGTCTTGTATAGATGAATCTTGGTGTTTTGGACAAAATTCCTCTGAGAATGGCATCATGCAAAAAAATTGGCCATTGTTTCCTAAATATATCTTCAATCATCCATGTAATGAATGCTACCCCATACTCATCTACTTTCCTCTCTTTCACTTTTAACCAGGGGCGGACTGACAACTCATGGGACCCCTGGGCAATAGGGAATCATGGGGCCCCTGTGTCCTTGCCCAAACTCAAAAAAGCCTATGAAAAAGGTACCAGGGGCATCTCATGGGGCTCCCTACTGACCATGGGCCCTTGGGCAGTTCCCGAGTTTCCAAATGGTCAGTCCGCCCCATCTTTTACCAGATTTCTTATTTTCCTAAGATCCCTGTTTTTATATCCTTTTTTTTCGAATCTCTGCATCAAGATATCTGCTCCTCATAATCTTTATCCTCATCATAATTCCATTTAATTCTCATAAATTGGATCTTCGGAATCATATTGAGCCATCTAGGATGATGGCAAATATGTATAGGAATGTATCCATTCCTATCCACATTTTAAAATGAGTTTGGATACAAAACCTATTATCTTTTCTATATATAGTGAGATCCAAAAATAATGGGAAATTCTACAGGCAAAAGACAGGAGTTGCGATGGGAGCAAAGTATGCTCCCTCAGTAGCTAATCTTTTCATGAGCAAATGGGAACATGAATCGATATATATTATAATAAGAGATCAGAATTTAAGCTCTATAAAAGATTTATTGATGATATCTGCATTATTTGGGAGGGAACTCAGGAATCTCTTGAAGATTTAATTAAGGAAATGGGCATGAAAAAGGTATAATATTTCGTTTTCTGAAAATATAAGCAGTGAGTCCATTAATTTTTTGGATCTCACTATATATAGAAAAGAAGATAGGTTTTGTACCCATTCTTATTTTAAGGATGTGAATAGGAATGGATACATACATAGTTGCCATCATCCTAGATGGCTTAATACGATTCAGAAGAGCCAATTTATGGAATTAAATGGAATTGTGATGAGGATAAAGATTATGAGGAGCAAACAGACATCTTGCTGCAGAGATTTGAAGAAAAAGGATATACAAACAGGGATCTTAGGAAAATAAGAAATCTGGTAAAAGAAATGGATACGGATGAACTGTTAAGAGTGAAAGAGGGGAAAGTAGATGAGTATAGGGTTGCATTCATTACAGGGTTTTAAATATTAAAAAGGGTTTTAGACACCATAGCCTTTCTCATCATTTTAGGAATTTCCATAATAGGGATCCATCTCTTTTGAGATTCTGTGGGATGGATATTATTGACCTCATTGACGAGGAGGAGATTTGAAGAAATCAATCTCACAGAATGAAACCAGATGGATCCTTAGATTGGATATTTTAGAACCCAAGGGGTTGAATGTAGATATACATTTGAACTGTTTTCTTTCAAATTAGTGAAAAGATTTAAGTTTTTGTATGTAACACTGTGATTGGTGGGGGGGGTGATAGGTAAATTGTCATTATTTCTCATGTTTTGTTCCTATTTGATAGTATTAAATGTATTCCTCAGTAATGCGCATACATCATTTCGGTTTTATTATCATCGGAAATCTATTTTTTACCTATTTAGTTCATTTTTATTTCTTGATTTTAGTTTTTTAGGTAATTTGTTTTTTTTATTAGTATGAGGTTTTTCCAATGTATTAGCCGCACTGATAATACCAGGAAGTAGTTTTAGCCTAATAGGAAGTGAGACATGAAGGTGGGAGGAGTATTGGCAGGGTATATCTGACAGACAGGGACCGGAGATTGCTGTCTGTGAGGATGCCCTGGAGGAGGGCCGAAACGCATTGACGTAATTTCCGATTCTAGCAAAGTCTTTGTGATGTCACATCCGGTGAGTGGAGCGCACACCATCAGCGGCGCTTCAGAGCCATTGTTGCTAACTAGCGCTGTCTTGATGTAGAAGGTCACGGAGCACATACTATTTTAAGGCTTATCTATTGTTTGCAACCTGTGAGTGCAATATGTACTTTGGTTTCATTTAATTAAAGGAGTGTTACAGTATTACACTATCAGTGTCCCCCTTTTTTGCTTCTCTTCTACCTGCACAAGGATTGTTGGAAGGTATTGAGGAAGTGCACCCTTATACCATTCTGAATCCTGGATATTCATGGGAACACATTTCACCAGTAAAAGCCTTGTTGACCCTTAAGACCAACAATTGAAGAGTCCAGGAAATCTGGTGAATGTGGTCTATATTAGAAAGTGGTCACATATGGTGATATAATTTAAAAAACACATTTCTTTTTTTGGCACAGATTTTTTGATTGGAGCACTTAATCACCATTTTTTGGGACAGTGGACATTATCACATAAAAAATTCTTTGTATTTATTTATTTTATTTTTGCACTGTGTTATTGATTATATTCCTTTAAATAACATGCTTGCGGGATGCCTCAAAGTTGCATGTGGTAGGAAGAAAACAAATTTTGTTAACACTCTCAGCGTACACTGGCAATGCATATTTGGCTGTGAAATAGATTTTCTAACTTGGCTTAAATACAGCAGCAGCAGAAACTCAATCTGATTCATTACAACATGAAAAAAAAAAGACTTTTTAGGTAGTTTTGGCTGAGACACCTGATTTAACTGTATATCCAGCAGTACTGGGCCTGAATTAAACAGTGGACATAGAAGCCTCAATAGATACAAAAGTTATAGATAAATGTAATCTTAAAAGTTTAATAAAATGTCAAAACAGAGTGCACAAACCTTTTCTAAACCACCACTCCCATCCCCTGAAAACTCCTCCCATCCCTGTGTTTTTCTCCCTAAAAATTCAAATTATAGACTTCAGATTTATGTTTGGCAAAAAGTGGACAGTATCAGGACTACATACAAGCACTGAAATAGGCAGCAAATAAAAAGAGAGCTGGGAGTGGCAGGCACTACAGCTACATTATGAACACTCCAAGTCTGGCTGTCTAAACCAAAATGTGTCCAAGTTCTTTTTGATGTATCCCTCTCATATATAATCTTCTGAAAAATTCCTGGCCTGGGTAGACTCAGAGTGGCAGATTCCAGACACAATTTCCTTTTTCTTTATTTATGTTATTTGTTTTTTTCATTGTAAATTTTTATATGTATTAACATATTTTATTTGTAGTCTTTCTATATTATATGACAATGATGCAGTGTTTGGGTCTGCAACTCCTCTGCTTTTCAAACATATTCATTCTTCCCCAAGAGCAGCCTTTAAAATATAAAATAAATATATATATATATATATATATATATATGTGTGTGTGTATATAGACTAGTATACAGAGAGCTGTTTGAATGTTTGAAATCCACAGCCCAAATTACCTGGCATAAAGTATGACCTGTCTTACAGAGAGAGTACATTTATGACTTTCATTACAACATCATCTAATTTTAATTCGTAACTAATCCATATCCCACTATAAAGATGCACAATCAAAGTATTTACTAATTTCATCATATTTGGAATTTTGGGAGGGAACCTCTAGTTGCTTGATGAGCGTAGGGACCAAACAAGGTGTCACGGTCTGGGTCAGGTTCAGAGACCAGTTGCTATAGCAGTGTAAGGCTTACCTTAAACCAGCAGATAGGTACACAGGCAGGTCACCCTGGGAAATCACGCAGGCTCACCTGAGGTGCGGGGTCTAAGCATTAACGGTTTTCACCTAATGGTGGAGATGGATTTTGGCTGCATGTCAATACCAGTCACAGATCTCAGGATCACCCCACCAGGGAATGAGCAAGCCGGTAACCGATAGCAGATCAAACAGATTAAGGATAAGCAGAAGCAGAGTCAAAAACAAGCCAAGGGTCGGTCACAGATGGTAGTGGATGAGATGAAATCGTGGTCAGGAACAAGCCAAAGGTCAGTAGCGGAGGTATAGATGGCAGCAGGAACAACAATAAGCGGGATATTGGCTGGTAAGGCACAATAATCTGGCAAGGAGGAAGTGTATGGACATGGCTTATATAGGAAGTTCATGGGAGGAGCAAGGAGTTCAAGGTTCAAGGGAAAAACAGGGCAAGGCAGGATCATCCAAAGAATTGTCAAGGGAGCTGTCCAACATTCCAGGTGGCTCAGTGAGAAGAAACATTGTCTCTCACTGCAGAAGGCTCAGGTTTGATCCCAGGCTCTGACACAAGGTCAACTTTATGACTAGCTTAAACAATGCCAGTATCATTCGTAGTAAAGTAAGTAAAGCGGGGTATACATGTGTTGAAAATACACAGTTCCTGCTGAATATACATGATTCCTGCTGAACTGGCAGACTTTCAGTCCATGTGTATCACTAATTGTTCAGCAGTCTCATGACTGGCTTCTGTTGAACGGTCCTGCTGGAAAACCAGACTTTGATCAGTATTTTCAGCCAATGGCTGCAGTGCTGATCAGTGTATTCTGATGGGGGGAGGGGGGGAGTCAGAATACAGTAGATCGTCAGGGAAGATTACTCATCATGGGTTTGAACAAAAAAAAAAGTGTATACCCTGCTTGAAGTGATATTAAAGGCAATTAAAAAAAAAAGCAAACATTTTATACTTACCTGCTCTGTGCAATGGTTTTGCACAGAGCAGCCCTGATCCTCCTCTTCTCGGGTCCCCCACCAGCACTCTTGGCCCCTGCCCCATGCCAAATATCCCCAGAGTAAGCAGCTTGCTATTGAGGGCACCTAAGCAGGCTTGCTCCTGAGCCGCTGCTCTGTGTGTCCATTCAGCTCAGCCCCTCCCCCTCTCTCTCCTCATTGACTCACTGCTGAGATTGACAGCAATGGAAACTAATGACACACGCTGGTGTCTCTGCCACCCGAGAACGGAGAGTCCCTGGAGAGCCGAGGCTATGTGCACATCACTGAATTGCGTTGAGGCTCAGGTAAGTATTAAAGGTGCTAGGGTGGCTGCTGTACACAGAACATTCATTACCTTCATGTCTTTACAACCACTTTAAGTCTTGTTGATTCTATCCATCGCTCTTCTCTGCAAAGGCAAGGAAAAATATATATAATATATATATATATATACATATATATATGTAGCACTGCCCCTTGGGACAAGCTGGAATATATTATGGGTCCTGCGCTCAATAGATCCAACCCTAAGCAAACCCAATCCCTCTGGCACAACTGGTAATGAATAGCAAATACCCCGCCAAGAAATTTGCTGACACAGGGTTAAATGAAACAAGAACAATTTTATGGAGAATGAAATGCAGTG